CCCCGCCCCCCGCCGCGTTCCCGCACCATCGGCGGGGAGGAGGTGGGGGAGGGGCGCTGGCCCTGGGTCGGGAGTCTCCGCCGGGGGGGGGCGCACCTGTGCGGGGTCAGCGTGGTCAGCGAGAGGTGGGCGGTGACAGCGGCGCACTGCCTGCGCGGGTGAGACTGGGTTATACTGGTTTGGACTGGGAGGGACTGGTTTATACTGGGAGGGACTGGGACAAACTGGGGGCAAAAAATCCGGGAGTTCTGGGACAAAAATTGGCGATTTTGGGACCAAAAATGTGGATTTTGGAGGGAAAATTGGGGATTTTTGAGCAAAAATTGGGCATTTTAGGGGTTAAAATGGGACTGGGATGGACTGGGACAAACTGGGAGGGACTGGGAGCAAAAAATCCGGGAGTTCTGGGAAGAAAAATGGCGATTTTGGGACAAAAAATGGTGATTTTTGGGCCAAAAATGGGCATTTTGGGGTGAAAAATGGGAGATTTTGGGGTGAAAATGGGACTGGGATGGACTGGGATAAACTGGGATAGACTGGGATGGACTGGGAGGGACTGGGGGCAAAAAATCCGGGAGTTCTGGGACAAAAAATGGCGATTTTGGGACCAAAAATGGGGATTATGGGGTGGAAAATGGGGATTTTGGGGCAAAAAATGGGGGTTTTGGGGTGAAAATGGGACTGGTTTATACTGGGAGGGACTGGGATGAACTGGGAAGGACTGGGAGGGACTGGGGGCAAAAAATCCGGGAGTTCTGGGACGAAAAATGGCGATTTTGGGACAAAAAATGCGAGTTATAGGGGAAAAATGGGGATTTTGGGGTGAAAAATGGGACTGGTTTATACTGGGATGAACTGGGATGGGAGTGGGAGGGACTGGGACAAACTGGGAGCAAAAAATCCGGGGGTTCTGGGACAAAAAATGGCGATTTTGGGACCAAAAATGCGAGTTTTAGGGTGAAAAATGTGGATTTTGGGGCAAAAATGGGGCATTTTAGGGGTCAAAATGGGATTGGGATGGACTGGGATAAACTGGGACAAACTGGGAGGGACTGGGGGCAAAAAATCCGGGAGTTCTGGGACGAAAAATGGCGATTTTGGGACAAAAAATGGGAGCTTTAGGGTGAAAAATGTGGATTTTGGGGCCAAAAATGGGGATTTTGGAGTGAAAATGGGACTGGGATGGACTGGGATAAACTGGGATATACTGGGATGTACTGGGATGGGAGTGGGAGGGACCGGGGGCAAAAAATCCGGGAGTTTTCGGCCAAAAAATGGCGATTTTGGGACAAAAAATGCAAATTTTACAGTGAAAATTGGGGATTTTTGAGAAAAAATGGGGCATTTTAGGGGTTAAAATGGGACTGGGAGGGACTGGAATGGGATTGGGACAAACTGGGAGGGACTGGGAGGGACTGGGAGCAAAAATTCCGGGAGTTCTTGGGCAAAAAACAGCGATTTTGGGACCAAAAAAGTGGATTTTGGGGTGAAAATTGGGCATTTTAGGGGTTAAAATGGGACTGGGATAAACTGGGACAAACTGGGATAAACTGGGATGGGATTGGGAGGGACCGGGGGCAAAAAATCCGAGGGTGCTGGGACGAAAAATGGCGATTTTGGGACCAAAAATGTGGATTTTGGGGTGAAAAATGGGGATTTTGGGGTGAAAAATGGGACTGGTTTATACTGGGGTGAACTGGGATGGGACTGGGATGGGAGTGGGAGCAAAAAATCCAGGAGTTTTCGGCTGAAAAATGGCGATTTTGGGACCAAAAATGGGGATTTTGGAGTGAAAATGGGACTGGGATGGACTGGTTTATACTGGGATATACTGGGACAAACTGGGAGCAAAAAATCCGGGAGTTCTGGGGCGAAAAATGGCGATTTTGGGACAAAAAATGGGGATTTTTGGGCCAAAAATGGGCATTTTGGGGTGAAAAATGGGAGATTTTGGGGTGAAAATGGGACTGGGATGGACTGGTTTATACTGGGATATACTGGGAGGGACTGGGACAAACTGGGGGCAAAAAATCCGGGAGTTCTGGGACAAAAAATGGCGATTTTGGGACAAAAAATGTGGATTTTGGGGCCAAAACCGGGGATTTTGGGGTGAAAAATGGGACTGGTTTGTACTGGGAGGGACTGGGACAAACTGGGAGGGACTGGGAGCAAAAAATCCGGGAGTTCTGGGGCGAAAAATGGCGATTTTGGGACAAAAATTGTGGATTTTGGAGTGGAAAATGGGGATTTTAGGGGTTAAAATGGGACTGGGATGGACTGGTTTATACTGGGATGAACTGGGATAAACTGGGATGGGATTGGGAGGGACCAGGAGCAAAGAATCCGGGAGTTCTGGGACGAAAAATGGCGATTTTGGGACCAAAAATATGGATTTTGGGGCCAAAAATGTGGATTTTGGGGCCAGAAATGGGGATTTTGGGGTGAAAAATGGGGCTGGTTTATACTGGGATGAACTGGGATGAACTGGGAGGGAACTGGGATGGGATTGGAAGGGACTGGGTTATACTGGGATGAACTGGGAGCAGTTTGGGGTAACTGGGAGCGGGGGAGGGGCGTGGTCAGCGAGAGATGGGCAGTGACAGCGGCGCACTGCCTGCGCGGGTGAGACTGGGTTATACTGGTTTGGACTGGGAGATACTGGGAGGGACTGGAGGCAAAAAATCCGGGAGTTCTGGGACAAAAAATGGCGATTTTGGGACAAAAAATGCGAGTTATAGGGGAAAAAACATGGATTTTGGGGTCAAAAAATGGGGATTTTGGAGTGAAAATGGGACTGGGATGGACTGGTTTATACTGGGAGAGACTGGGAGGGACTGGGACAAACTGGGGGCAAAAAATCCGGGGGTGCTGGGACAAAAAATGGCGTTTTTGGGACCAAAAATGTGGATTTTGGAGGGAAAATTGGGGATTTTGGCGTGAAAATGGGGCATTTTAGGGGTTAAAATGGGACTGGGATGGACTGGTTTATACTGGGAGGGACTGGGATGGGATTGGGACAGACCGGGGGGAAAAAATCCGGGAGTTTTGGGTTGAAAAATGGGGATTTTGGGACCAAAAATGGGGATTTTGGGGTGAAAAATGTGGATTTTGGGGTGAAAAATGGGAGATTTTGGGGTGAAAATGGGACTGGGATGGACTGGTTTATACTGGGAGGGACTGGGACAAACTGGGAGCAAAAAATCCGGGAGTTCTGGGACGAAAAATGGCGATTTTGGGACCAAAAATGCGAGTTATAGGGGAAAAATGGGGATTTTGGGGTGAAAAATGGGGATTTTAGGGGTGAAAATGGGACTGGGATGGACTGGGATAAACT